TCTAATGGCAGTAGCAAACCCTTTCTGTAAAGGTCCAATTAAGAAGTATTTTAGGCTTTATGGGCCTAAGGTCTCTGTCACAACCGATCACCTCTCTGGCAGCATAAAAGCAGCCGTTAATAATGTGTCAACTCCTGAGTGAGGCGGCATGCCAGTCAAACTTTATTTACAAATCAAGGCAGCAGTTTGCCACACTTGTACGCTAGGGCAGAAGACGATGCTAAAGGCCAGTACGTTGCCCAACAAGCAAAGACAATAGTCTAGGGACATGAAACAAATGGCTTTCATATCCAAGGTTGGACTATTAGACATCAGTTTGAATCCTACCCCTGCCCAGAACAAAGCCTTTACGATTATTCAATGAGTTTGTGAGGTAGTCTATCTGGGCATTAGGTGGTTAGATGGTAGTTTTAAAAGGCAGAAGTCGCCAACCCCAGGCTGACACAGAGACATCCAGGGCTAAGAAAACTCTAGTCATCGCTGCTGTTCTGACTGAAATAACAAGACCAAGGCTCCAGGCTGTGACTCACTGCCATGGAGAAACCGACTCAGCAGGTAGAACTGCCCCCAGGGGGTTCTGATACCACAGTAACTCTTTATAGTAGAGAACTTCACCTTTCTCCTGCCCAGCAGCTGCTGGTTTTGAACTGCTGACCTCGAGGTTAGCAGACCAACTCACAACCACTATACTATGAGCTTCTTATAGTGATTCCCAAATTACAATGAATGGGTAAAAAATCAAATGAAACACATTGCCGTAGAATATATTCCAGCTACGTAAGACGGAGCTTTCTGAGAACTCAGAGCTTTAGCTTTCTGAGGTTGTAGTGTTTTGTTTTGTTTTTTTAGTTTTATTGACATATACGTCATGTACCTAACAATTCAATAATGCATTTTAAACAAGCGCCCCCAGCTAATTTAGATGAAAGAAGTTTGGGATCTATATATTTTGAGTAATTCTTCATGGGTGCAAAAAGCCTCACCTTTCTCCCATAGCAGCTGGCGGATTTGAACTGCTGACCTTGAGGTTAGCAGGCTAAGCAACTGGAAGAGTATGACAGATACTTTTAAATGCAGATTTTCAGATTCAACTCAGCGTGAGTTAATCAGAAAGGTTCATGGATCCACGTTTTACTCAAGGCTGAGCTGTGAGCAGGTGCCAGGAATCAGGAAGGAAGACCCTGCCACGTCTTTGCTTCTAAAATGAGGCTGTTAGAACTAGACAGCCTAGAGCCAGCAGGCTGATGCTCTCCCAGCCCAAAGTTGGTTGGATAGTTTGCATCCATAGACCATTCATGAGTGCTCATTTTATCATTTTAGACCTACAACTAGTTTCTGCAAGCCCTCAGCTTGAAAACTTTCCCTTACTTTTTTCCACTTTAAGTGATCTATGCATTATGACTTCTCCATCTTACTTCAATGAGGGTGAAGGTTATGTTTATAATTCTGCTATAAGCTAGTTCTTATCCAGCCGTGGTGGTTTCCATCAAGCCACGTTTCCTCTTGGCTGAGGCAGGTGAGCACGTCAATGTAGAAATCCAGGAGAAATTCTTGAGCAACTGGACAAAGACAAGGAGTTCTTAGGCTTGGCACCAAAAGCACAACCCTAAAAAGGAAAAACGGATAAACTGGACTTTCTGGAATTAAAAACGTTTGCTCTGTTCATGACCCTGTTAAAAGAACTATTGCAAGCTACAAAATGGAACAAAATATTCCAAACCACTCCTCTGACAAAAGATTACTATCTAGAAAATCTAAAGAACTCTCAGGATTGAAGCCTACATCTTGGCTCCAAATATCGTCATTCCAAAATAAAAGCATGCACAGCTCCTTGGGGCTGTGTGACAGTAACCGGAGGGATACGCATGACGAAAGGCTTGCCCTGCCCCTTAATGGTGTCATTGTCGGTGTTCCTGTATAGTCAATCTACAGTTGATACTGCATGTGAGTTAGATTTTATCAGGATTTCAGTGGTTTAGCTGTTGAGGCCT